CTGCCTCGCTGCTCTTACTGCAGCCGCCTCCGGGGCCGGCGCCAGCCGCCTCGCTTCGCCAGTGCTGTCTACGCCTGCGCGACACGCGTGTCGGTTCGCCGCCCGCGTCGCCCGCGGCGGGCCCGCATGGCGCGCCGCTCGTCTGGAGCGTTCCCAGCAGGCTGTGCAGGGCAGTCTGCCTCACTCAGGGCGCCGCCGCCGCTGCGCGGGGCCGCCACCGGCGCTGCTGCCGTGAACAATGCCGACGTGTATGTCACCATCGCCTCTCTTCGTCGCCGATCTCGCCGACGCCGCTCGCCGCTCGCCGCCGCCCTGCCTTGCCCTGCCCTGCCCTCGCACAAACAATGAAACAAACCAACACAGACACACACACAAACAGACACACACACACACAACTCCTTGCCCCCGCGCCCTCCCGCCTCACGCCCTGCGCCTCACGCCGCGCGTCCCACGCACGCCCCGGGACTAGCGGTCCTTCAGCGAGTCCTCCCTCTTCGGCGCCAACGCCCACTACCCGTTCGGCCCGGTGAGGGGCAGGAGCGGAGCCATTCCAACGGCTGGGAAAATTTCTGAACGGCCGTGCATGCGCCTGCATGCCGGACAACTAAGAAGGTCCCTCGCTCCTGCTCCTCTCTCGGAAGACGTGCGCCGGCCTGGGGGATTCGCTTGCGATCCCGCTCCAGCCAGAGGCCGCGTGAGGCGTGTGGGACGGTGCACGCTGGGGCTTGGCCCCAAGTGCACTGGCCTCGCGTCTCGAGGGGAGGGCGGCTCGTAACTGAGGTTCGCCGTCGGAGACAGTCGTCCTCCCCTCAACCCGACGAGAGTGGGCGGGCAGTCCCCGTGGCTGCAGTCGCGCTTCCGAGCCGACTCCGCCCCTCTCTCCACCCGGCCATTCCAACGGCCAGGCCGCTCGCTTAAGGCTGATTGGCTAGACGAGCGGCCTACCTCCAACGGGGCGGTCTGGATCACGGGGGATGACATCCTGCCTCCCGGCACGCCGGGAGGAGGTAGGTGGGTGCTCCGCCGCCGGACCGCCCTCTCCACCACCCTCGCCCAGGGATCTACAATGCTGTCTCAAGGTCCGACCTGTGGGCTCCGGCCTGCGCTCGGCACCGGGCACCGCCTCGGTATACATGTACAAAATGCGCCTGCGGGCGGACCCTCACAGATCACAGATCACTCCGCCTGAAGCACCCCACCCCCGGAAATCTCTGCAGCAGCAGACTGACGAAGGAGCCCGATGCTCGGCCGGCTCGCGGTGTTGTCGTCCGCGCTTGCCTTTCGCCCCTCGGCGCCGCGCGCGTCCACGCCGCACATGAGTGCGCCGCGCGCGTCCACGCCGCACATGAGTGAGCGGGCGCGCAGACGTCACTTGAAGGAGATTGGCGAAATCGACCCGATAGATGTCCAGATAATTCAGAGGCAGTTCGCGACTGTCCGTGAGCTGCCGCGGATACTCGGGACCGAAGCCGGGAATGCGACGAATATCCTCGAGCTCGACGACTACCGCGAGCCCTCCTTCAAGCGCCTCTTCACGCACAAGACGTGGCAGCGCTACACGGGCGGCTCCGCCATCGGCCGCATCCTGCGGCTGGTGCGGCAGTGGCCGTTTTGCCTGGTGATGCAGGCGACGTGGCCCCTGCTGCTGTTCAACGCGTGCTGGGCGCTGCTCGTGACGGCGGCCGTGCCCGCGCACGTCCTCACCGGCTGGTCGCGTGGGCTCCAGGCGACGATGCAGCTGCAGGGCGCGGCGATCGGCCCGCGCCCTCGATGCTGAAGACAGATCTACTCTCCAGCTAGCACTCGTACACGCGGAGCTGCTGCGTCCCATTGCATCACGCTCTGGCGCTACACGCAGCACTTGCACTCAGCCGATGCTCACGCCATGACGACCAGCGGTGCTCACGCCACAACGCTGCGTGTTCGCACCTCTGGAGCTGCTGTCCTGCAGGGCTGCTGCTGGTCTTTCGCACCGACAACGCGTACCGGCGGCTCGAGGAGGCGCGGAAGGACTGGAGTCGCATCCTCTACCTCTCGCGCGAGGTTGTGAGCAGGGTGCTCGTCTCGTGCGAGTACCCAGTCACGTGCGAGGTGGCTCGCTACCTGTGCAGCTTTGCCTGGTCGCTGCGCGACATGCTGCGCGACGCCGAGGACCGCGACGACATCCTCGACGTCCTCCTCGACGCCGAGGAGGCGAGCTGGGTGGTCTCGCAGCGGTCGAGGCCGCTCGCGCTGCTCGGGCGGGTGAGGCAGGTGCTGATGCGCGAGCTGGACGCGGGTGAGCTGTCCGCGACTCAGCACTACGCCATCGACATGGACGTGCGCGAGCTCTCCTCCGTGGTGGCCACGTGCGAGCGGCTCTTCTCGAGCCCGATCCCGCCAAACATGGCAAGGCACGGCGTGCGGTCTCTCATCCTTTGGCTCTTCGGCATCCCGACCGCGCGGATCTTAATTGCTCATTCACGGGGCGAGGTCTTAATTAAATTAATGAGTTAGGCATCCCGATCGTGCTCGCGGGCTCGATGCACCCCGCGCTCATCGCTCTCTGCGTGGCCTCGACGACGTACATCTACTTTGGCATCAACGAGCTCGGCATCCAGGTCGAGCAGCCCTTCAAGATCATGCCGCTCTGGCAGCTGTGCCACCTCGTGCAGTACAACATCGAGGAGGCGATCGGCTCGCCCGAGCTGCCGCTCCTCATCAAGCGCGAGCGCGAGATCGAGGCAGTGCCCCACTGGGAGCGGTACGACGGCTCAGCGCCGGTGTAGGACCAGGTCGCCGCGCTTGAGAGACTTGTGTCGAGCCTCACTGCAGTCGAGGCCACAGCTCCGTGAGAGACCGCGCGCGTTGCGTGTTTTGGGAGCGTGTGCTGAGGTGAGCCTCGTGAGCCGTACGTCAGTGTATTAGTGGCGCCAGAGATCGCGACAGGGCGAACGACGCGTCGATAATCGTGTACATTAGAGAGTGCGCGGGTCGGGTGGCGGCTGGCGCGCGGGGCGCGGTGACCCCGGTGAGCGGTGTGCAGTGTGTTGCATGGCCGTTGTGTAAAAGGTGGCGAGGTATATATCATCCCCACTATGCCACCGTCGCACATCATCCCACACTTACTCACCCGCTACTCACGAAATTGACCGCGTCACACAAGACACACAACACGCCGCGCACGCTCGAGCCTGCTCGAGCGCGCGCGCACGGCGCTGGGCGTCCGTGTGTCGTCGTCAAGAGCTGACCGCCTGTGTACAGTCTCGGGTCTCTCTTGGCCACTCCGCCAATACAAAATCACGACGTTGGAGGGGATCTCCTCGCTTTGGACATGATAAGTTCACCTCTGGCTCTGTGCTGCCAAATGCCGGGGTGGTCACCAGCTCACCACCGGCCAGGGAATCCACGGCCTTTCCTTAGATGACTCCACCCGCGCTGGGGTGTAGAGTGGGACCTTCTCGAAACACTTGCTTCTCCTTCCATTTCACTTCCGTAACAGAGGTGGGAGAGCCGCACCGCTCATGAGCCAGGCGAGAAAGCACACGGCGAGAAGCACGGGCAAGCTGGAGACGAGGAGCCCACCAGGTGCGCAACCGGGCGTGGTGGGCGGCTGGCGAGGCATTGTGCGGGGCTTTGGTGGTGAACTCCGCATCTGTTCGTTCGAAGTGGCCTGCAGTCTGTTTGCGAGTCAGTCTGAGAGCGGCACAAGCCGGCAGATGTCAATCACGTGTCTTACTTTTTTCAGAGTTCTTTTGTTTAAATACCTTTTTCAGTGCATGTAGCTCTTACGAACATACCCGTAGGTGAACTGCTGACAGGGTTTGCAAAAAACCGACCTACCTACTCGAATACCTCCTCCCTCTAGATACTTATGGGAACCTAAAAAAGAACTCCTATGGGATGTTGTCCCTATAGCTAGAGCGGGATCCGGGGTGGTTGCCGATCGGCCATAGTCCCGCGACGAGGGAAACGCCCTATAGGATGTTGTCCCATAGCTAGAGCGGGGTCCGGGGTGTGGACCCTGAGTTGCACAGGGGTTGTGCGCCGGGCCCTCCTGGTCCTGCTCGGCTCCAGCGAGTAGACAAGTGTTACCATCCAACAGAGTAGAAGGATCTGACCTCAGGGCCAATGTGACCAAGCGCTGGTACCGTGGTTTGACCTCACACCCATGGTCTCACAGTCTGCCGGCAGTCGCCGAGCAGTGTCGCTCACACAAGCCGCAGGCGCAGCACAAGTGACTGAGGGGGCCAGTGAGGGCGAGCCCATCGCTGTGACAGCTGTACAGTAGGCTGTGCCATCTGTGTAGAGAAAAGAGGAGCTTCTGCTCTGACTCCAGGCTTCTGTCGCAAAGAGCTGCATGCCACCGTGCACCGAAGGCGCTGTGTCGAGGTTCACCGAGCGCGGGCCGGCGCAGGTTGGGGGACACCGTCACCGACGAGCGCGTTGGAGAACAGTATTCACTCTCCGGACAAAGACGCTAGACGGCGACACGCACACGAGCTGCGGCCGTGTCGCCGTCATAAGCGGCGGCGAGGCGCGGGACCGTCTGTGGCGCGAAGTGCGGCGGGTGTCGGGTGTGCGGGTCGCGTCCCTCGATTTTCCGTCCCAACTCCCTCTCCGTACAACCGTAGGCGTAGCGGTGCCGCGCGCGGAGCGGCGGCGGGGGGGGGGGGGGGGCGCGGGCGGTGCCGCGGTGGTTTTTGCGCGGGGTTGGGTGATGGCTGATCGCTGTGCTCTTCTCTCTATAGTTTCATTCTGTGTTACCACACGCGCGAACCCCATCCGCCATCCCACACATGCCTTGCACTCTACAGGGGCGCGCGGGTCACGCGTCGTCGAGCGCCGCGACGCCGGGCAGCACCTTGCCCTCGAGCAGCTCGAGCGAGGCTCCGCCGCCGGTCGACACGTGCGTCACCTTGTCCTCGGTGCCGTACTTTTTGGCGCAGGTCGCCGTGTCCCCGCCTCCGATGACCGTCACCGCACCGGCCGCGGTGGCCTTCACCACCGCCTCCATCATCGCCTTGGTGCCCGCCTCGAAGCTGTCCATCTCGAAGACCCCCATCGGGCCTACCCACACCACCAGCCCGCGTCAAGAGACGCAATTGCTGCAGCAGCGACACCTCTCGAGGCTGCCCCGTCGTCGGCGCCGTCGAGCAGGACTCGGCTAGTCGCGGCTAGTCGCGGCTAATCTCGGCTAATCTCGACTCGTCTCGGCTAGTCTCGGCCAGTCTCGCGCCGTTCCACAGGATGGTCTTCGAGGAGGAGACGACGCTCGCGTTGATCTCGCTCGAGCGAGGGCCGCAGTCGAGCCCCATCATGCCGTCCGGGACCCCTCCCTCGAGCGTCGCCGCGCCGATCTCGCCGCCCTCGCCAAACTCGCTCGCGGTGACAAAGTCGACCGGCAGTGTGATCTCGACGCCCTTCTCCTTGGCCAGCTCCATGATCTCGGTGACGAGGGCCGCGCCGCGCTCGTCGTAGAGCGAGGCGCCGATCGGCATGCTGTGCAGCACCTGGAGGGAGGGGAGACGATCTCGCTATCCATCTCGGGCGATCTCGGCTCATCCCTCTCCATCTCGGACGACCTCGGCTCATCTCTCGGTCCATCTCGGGCGAGCTCGGCGCCTTGAGGAAGGTGTACGCCATCCCGCCGCCGATGATCATCCGGTCCACCTTGTCCAGCAGACTCTTGATGAGCAGGATCTTGTCGCTCACTTTCGCACCGCCCAGGATGGCCAGCCTCGGCTTGGCCGGCGCGTCGAGCACCTGGCGGAAGGCCTCGAGCTCGCGCGCCACGAGGAAGCCGGCGGCCCTCACCTCGAAGCCCTCGCCCAGCATCGACGAGTGGGCGCGGTGCGCCGTCCCAAACGCGTCGTTGACATACACGTCTGCGAGGCTGCGTAGCGAGGCGCGAAAGGCCGCCACGGCGTCGGGCGCCGCCGTCACCTTGGCGCCGTGCGCGTCGACGCCCTTGCCCTCCTCCTCGACGTGGTACCGCAGGTTCTCGAGCAGCAGCACGCTGCCCTGGGGCGGGTCCGCGCATGCCGCCTCCGCCTCCGGCCCGACGCAGTCTCCGATGAAGCTGACAGGCCGTGCGAGGAGCTTCTCGAGGGCAGCGGCGACTGGAGCCAGCGAGCACTCAGGCTTCCGCATGCCGTCCGGCCGCCCCAGGTGGGAGCAGAGGACGACCGCCTTGGCGCCCGACTCGAGGCAGTACCGGATGCTCTGCAGCGCGCCCTCGATTCTCGCAGTGTTGGTGATTTTGCTCGGGTCGGCCTTGTCCTGCGGCACGTTGAAGTCGCAGCGGATGAGCACGCGCTTCCCGGCCACGCTCACGCTCCGGAGCAGCCGCTTGTTGAGCTCGCCGCCTGCCCCGCCCCCCGCGCCCATGTCGTGCTCTTTTAGGTACTCTGCGATGTGGAGGAGTGGAGAAGACGACTGTGCAGTCACCGCGTCGAGGACGGCGTCCGAGATTATGCGCTCGATGTCGTGCTTTTTGAGATAGTCAGCGACTTCTTGGGCCGAGAGCGCCATTCGTCTCTCTCGGTTGAGCCACAGCCTGTACCCGTAGTGCGGCCTGGGTGCTGGTTTTTCTCTTTTTCCAAGTTAAAACAAAAACTCGGCACGGCAAGGTAAGAAACGATGATGCGAGCAGAACACTCATACCCGAGATGCCACCGGCGTGCCCGCAAACCAGCTCGATAGCACCTCGCCTATTGCGTGAGAGTGGTACTCCAGCCCACCAACGAGGCTGCTGTCGTAAAAGGCATCGCCGCCCGGCTCGCTCACGGCGCCCTCGAACGTGCTCTCCCACCACGCAGAGAAGGCAGCGCTCACAAAGCGGCTGCCCGCCGCCTCGCCGACCGGCGGGCAGAGGACGGTGCACGGCCTCCCTCCGGCGGTGAGGCTCGGCCTGCCGCCTGGAAGACGCATTGCTGCTGCGTGCAGGTAGGCGCGCGCCTCGCAACCGGCGCTCGACGCCGCGTAGCGAGGGTCGCCGAGCACAGGTGCGCCGAGCGATTTGAGGGCGACGCGCAGCTGGTGAGTCCGCCCCGTCGCCGGCTTCAGAAGAAAGGCGTGGCATCCTCCCCCTTCACCGAGAGCTGCGCTCACAAAGTGGGTGACAGCGGGGTTGCTCCGCTCTCGCGTCAGCATCCACTGCCCTCGCCTGCTGCGCGCCATGTCGCCAATCACCCTGCCCTGCTTCTTCTTTGGCTTGCCAGCGGCGAGCGCGACATAGTACTTGTGCACGCGCCGCTCGCGGAGGAGGAGGGCCATCGCCGAAGCAGCCTCGCGGCTCTTGGCCACCGCCATGAGCCCAGAGGTCACGCGGTCAAGCCGGTGGCACGGCAGGAGAGGCTCGTGCAGAGAGCCCAGCTCTCGCAGGCGCGGCAGCAGGCCGGTCTCGTCGTCGGTCGAGTGGAACGCGAGACCAGGCGGCTTGTGGATGAAATAGAGCCCTGCTGTCTCAGCCACGAGGCGCGGCAACGGCTGACACACCACCATCTGCTATGGCCGCAGCCGCTCACTCGGCAGCGGTGGCGAACGGGTGGACGGGGAGAGCGGCCACTGTGGGTGGACGGCGGAACACAGCGAGCGTGCGGCGGCTGCTGCTCGCAACTCTGACACGGCGAGACCACGGAGGCGGCTGGTGCAGAGCCTCGGAGAACAACGCAGTAGTGCAAAAGAATTTTAGAACAAAACTCCCTCGCACAACACTGGGCACAGGACTGGGCACGGGACTGGCTCGCACTGGCACTAACACAGGTACACCACGGGAGCCGCCTAAGCGACTCCTGCGAGGGTGGCGAGGCACTTAGCTCCGTGCACCCGCCCACCCCCGCCACAGGCAAGCTCATTCACGAGTAGTGCAAAAGAAACGCATCTGGGAAGATGACCGCCGCAAGCGGCGTGGCGTGGGTCGGTTGTGCATCCCTCCGGGGGCCCCTCTGCGCCGGGGAGGCGTTGTTGGAGGCTAGGACGCAAGCGTCCGTCGCCCTTTTCAAACTCGGGGCTCACTCACTCCGCTCGCTACGTACGCTCCGAGAGGCCGCCGGCCAATACGCGCGGACGAAGAGCTGCCGCGAAGCGGTGGCGATGGCCTCGCAGGCGTCGCTATTGTCGACGCACCATCGCGCCTTCTCGATGATGTCGCTCGTATTCTCGAGCGCGACGATTTGGGTTTTGGTTGGCTTTAATAAATAAATAAATAAAAACGGACACCTCTCTACTGTGAGATGGGTAAAAAGGAACAGGTCCCCGCCCTTGCGATCTTTGTGCAGGGTTCTTTGTGGGTGTGGTCGGCGACTAGCCGGGGTCGTCCTCCCGATGGGGGACTACGACACTAGCACAGCCGTCTTCCACCTGGTCCCTCGGGTCCCTGCTGCTCCTGATCTCTTCGTACATCCTCCTGCTGATCTCCGCAAAGTCCTGCTCCCTCCCTCGTCTCGCCCTGCGCGTCTGCTCCGCCTCACCGTCTTCTGCCCTGCGTCGTCCCGCTCTCGAGCTGTTCAGATCCCTCGACGGGTCTCCCGAATCGGGCCGGCCCTTCGTACACCCCATACGACACTACCGGTCGCGGCACGAACCTATCCCCCACCCACTTGTTTGGCATGTCTCTCCCTCCATCCGTCGCAGCGAGGTGCGTGAAGGGCCGCGCTCTGTGCAACGCGAGGCATATCCTGGCAACCTCCGCGTTGAGCTCACGGCCCTTCTCCGAGCCGAGCGGCTCTCTATCCTTGCCCATCATGACCTGCGTCCCGTTTCTGTCGGCTCTCTATTCTGCCCATCATGACCCGTGTCCCGACCTCAAACTCGTCCCACCGCAGTAGGAAGGAAGCGCGTAAGCGGAATAGCGGGTCCTCCTGGAGTTCGGCGTCTCTTACCCACGCGCCGTGCCTCGGGGGCGAGCCCTCCATCTCTCCCAGCCCCGGCACTACCCCTCGCTCCCACCTCATCGCGTGTCGCCAGTTGCGGTCTCGCTACTCCGCTCGGCGGCTCTTGCTCTTTGAGCTCGCACGGCTGCCGGTATCCGAGCGCCTCCTCACTAGCCCTCGCCATCTGTTCCGCCACGTCGCCGGCGTCACTCCCTCTCTTGACCGCTACGACTATACCGTCGTGCTGCAACGACAGCACTGCGTGGCCGTTGCGCGCGGCCCAACGCACCTTCGCCCTTCGGCTGATACTCTCCGCCTCCTGAAAGGCGAACGATTTGACTGTGCGTTCCGGATGCCCCTTCCCTGGCTTGTGGTGCGCAAGCCAATCCGTGACAAAGCGGGTCATTCCCGTCCTCTCGTCCAGGCTATTGCTCAGCCAGAGCGTGCCCTCGGCTTGCGCCTGAAGGTACGCCCGAAAGGTTAAGGCTGGCTTTTCTATGATTCACTTTGTTTATTTATTTACAACGCACTCTCTCACATGACAAGCGATCCCACGACAGCGATTGTGGGGACTACATGATCCGTACGTGAAGGGTGGAGGGGCCTGTCCGCGGACACAACGCACTCTCTCACGTTACAAGGGACATTCTGCGAGATGCAGGCAGGGAGGAGCTCAGCCTTGGGAGGAGAGGCGCTTAAAGCGCAGGGGGGGTGCCACAAAGGTGTGGCGGAGAGGTGCCGCCGCGGTGCCCACCGGTGCCCGCAAGGAGCGCCGGCCTTGGAAGCCCGCCTGCCGGGCCAGCCAGCAGCCACCAGCGCCGCCGCCACCCTGCCGGCCACGCCCGCGCGCACGGGAGAAGAAAACTGCGAAAAAAGGAAAACACGCTGACATACATCGCCTCACCGCCGCTGACGGCTGCGGCCGGGTCGGAGGACGCCGTCGTCGCCAAGACTCGTACGTGCCCGTGCCGGCTGCTCGTGCTTGCGCCGCTGTGACATACATGAAGCCGCTCCTGAAGGTCCGCACGGTGACACTCGGCCTCAGCCTTCTCCCTAACCAGCCCGACGCCTGGGATCTCGAGCTCGCGCGGGCCGCCGCCTTTGTGTCTTCCGCGCGGCGGCGGCTCGAGGACGCGGGCTACGAGGTGCAGACGACACGGATCAGCAGCCAGAGCTTTGAGTCGTGGGTCGACGTCTCCGACGCGACCGCGGCGCTCGAGGCCTTCCGCCGGCTCGACGCCACCCTGCTGCGCCTCGGTGTCGGCCTCTTCAACGCAGGCCCAGCCACGTCGCCCGAGGGCCTCGCGCTCGTGCCGCAGATCGTAGCGCTCGGGCCGCGCATCTCAGCCTCCGGCGCGATGCCCGGGCCGCTTGACCGCGCCGCCGCCTCGCGCCTCGCGGACGCGATCCTTACCATCTCGCAGACGACCGGCGGCGGCGAGGGAAACTTTCAGTTTTGCGCCTCCTTCAATGTGCCTCCCAAGGCAACGGAGATGGCGCGGTCCGCTCCCGCCGCTAGGCCGCTCGCGACCCACGTTGGCGTCCTCGCCCCCGCCAGACGCCCTTCTTCCCCGCGTCCTACCACGAGGGCGCCTCCCCCTCCTTCGCCATCGGCTGCGAGACGTCCGAGCTTCTCGCCCACGCGATGCCCCGTGCCGGCGGCGACCTGCCTCGCGCAAAGGCACTCCTGGTCGACACCTTCACCGACCAGCTGCTGCCGCTGCAGGCGATTGCGCGGCAGCTGTCGCAGGCGCACGCACCTGCCGTGCGCGGCCCTACTCTAGCCCAGGCCCGGACCCGGCCTGGCGACCCCGCACAGGCGCACGGCCTACAGTACGACGGGATCGACGCGAGCGTCGCGCCGATGGGCGATGCGAGCCCGCTGACCGGCTCCTTCGAGTCGCTCGGCCTCGGCTCCTTTGGACAGAGCGGCACCCTCGCCGCGGCGGCGCTGGTGACGGGCGCGCTCAAAGAGCTGCCCGTCGACACTTGCGGCTACTGCGGCCTCATGTTGCCGCCCCTCGAGGACGCGGGCTTGGCACGCGGCGCGGCCGACGGCGCCTACCGCATCCACGACTTGCTCGCCTACTCGGCCGTGTGCGGCCTGGGCCTGGACACCGTCCCCGTGCCGGGCGACGTGCCTAAGGCCAAGCTCGCGGCTCTCCTCCTCGACGTCGCGGCTCTCGCGTTCCGGCTAAACAAGCCATTGACGGCTCGCCTATTCCCCGTCCCCGGGAAGGCCGCCGGGGACGCCGTCGAGTTTGAGAACCCGCACCTTTGCAGCTCCGCGGTCTTTGACGTGCCCTGAGCGCCTTTCCCTGAACGTGAAGTGGCCCCCTTTCCCGAACGTCGATCCCTCTCCGCTCGGCCCGCTTGTCGTCCCGGGCTCCCGGCTCCGGGCCGCGCAGCCGGAGCCGCGCTCAAAGTTGAGAGAGAGCTGGGGCCGCGGCGAGGCCCTCTCCGCTCCTCGCGAGTCGCGTCCCAAAACGTCTCTTGAGCTACCAATCAGATTTTCTACCAGTACACTCGCGCCCTATTGGCCACGGGCCCATGGGCGCGGGCGCCCCTGATCGCACCTCGGCGGTCGGGGTGTGCACTTACCGTCGCCGGCGTCGCGCCCGCGCCGTCCGCGACCGCGTCTCCGCTCTCCCCCTCTCGCCCCCTCACCGGCCTCAGCTGGCCCTGCGTGAAGCACGAGTCTCACACACTAAGCTACCGCGAGACTGGCAACGAGACGCTCACAACGAACAGATGGCAACGCCTTGGTGTCGGCTCTTGCTGGTAGACCCGTATCGACACCACGACGCTGCTGCTCTCAGCTCTCTGCACACCCACCGAGACGACGACTTCCTAGTCCGACTTGCGGTCGTTGGTTCCCTCACTTTCCAAGGCATCGGCACATCGTCGCGCACATCGAGCCGCCTGCCGACTTCGCCGTCGAGGCGGAGGCCTTCTTGCTACCTTCCTCGGTCCCAGAGCCGTTCTTCTTTCCGCTTGCCTTCGGAGAAGCGTCTGCAGTAAACCCGAAGCCGTTGTCCTGGCGTTTAAATGGGTTGTCCGACAAGCGAGGCGAGCTGACCGTCTCAACCGCCTCGTGCGTGGGGTAAGCCTCGACGGGCACGCTCATCTTGGGCTTGGGATCCGCGGGCCTTGTGGTCGTGATCACCTTGGGCTTCACCGTGGCCGGCGCTGGTGCCTGCGTGCTGCTCACGCTCACCCCCCCGGGCACACCAACCTGGTTGAACCCGGAGGCGCCGCCATAGACGATCTTCTTCTTGGGCTTCTTCTCCGCGTTGCCTCCCTGCGCACCCTCGGCATTCGCCATCAAATCGAATGGCATCCTCGGACTGGGCGGACCGCGCGTCTTGAAGTGGGCCGGTGGTGCCGAATTCCGCTCAATCGACGGGCGCCGCCTCTTAGGTATATTGCCTGATTTGCAAAAAAATTTTTCGCAGTGATCGCCGCCGCACCTGGCCTTTCCTCCCGCGGTCCGGGTGGCCGCGGTATGATCGAGGTCATCTGCAACGACCGGCTGGGAAAGAAGATCCGAGTCAAGTGCAACCCTGATGACACCGTCGGCGACCTCAAGAAGCTCCTCGCCGCGCAGGCAACGCTCCGCCGCCCGCCGCCGTCCGGACTCACCTCGCCCGAGCGCGCGGCGCACCTGCCTGTTGAGCACCCGCCCAGCACGAGCCACCCCGGCCCCGCAGACGGGCACGCGGCCAGAGAAGCTGCGCATCCAAAAGTGGTACACGGTGTACAAGGACCACATCAGCTTGGACGATTACGAGATCCACGACGGCATGGGCCTCGAGCTTTACTACAACTAGGTGCTGGCATTCGAGGTGGGCCTTCCTCTGTCGGCGCCGCCCGCCACAGATTCGAGCAGCGGGGCCTTCCTCTGTCGTGCGCCGCGCCGCGGCGTCCCAGAGAGCAGCGGCCGCGATGCCTCTCCGTTCGCCTCGGGCGTGCGGTCGCCTCGGGCGTGCGGGATCCGCGGTCGCCGCGACGCGCATTTTGCTTCACCTTTATTGCTAGCTCGCGAGAATCTTTTGTTGTTCGGGTACGTTTTAAATCAGGCTTGGCCCCTGGCACCACGCGCACGCCGCACGGCCCGCGCAGCAGCGTCCCCCCGCGTCCCGCCCCCGCGCGGCCTTCCCGCTGGGCGGCCGCTCCGCCTATCGTCGGCTATCGCGCACGGCGGCGCGCGCACGCTCCTCCCACTCGCGCACACAATGCCTGTGTTTCTCTTTTTCTTCATCCGCTCTTACGGGGTCAGGAAGAGAATTCGGTCAGGCTCAGGGTCGCCAACTTTTTCCGGGGTAATGGTATGGGGAGAGATTTTAGAAAACCCCTGCTTCGGCTGAGGGCTGACAAGCTGCCGAGCCCAAATCACTGTGAGAGTCGTGATACGTGATTCCTTCTAGATCGGCGGCCCAAAGGGGTGAGGGTTGGTCCTGACCGCCCAAGACTAGCCCTACCATACCCCCAAGCAGGTCTGCCAGCTGGCGGGGGGGTATGGTCTTGAGCTGGGTTGGCCGAAAAACCAGAGCGGAGGGGCACCATGCCCCGCAAAAAGTTGGAACCCAGGCAGGAGGAGCTTCGTGAGCGTCGAGTTGGAGCCTCCACAGTTTCTCTGCGCCTCCGGGCGGTGCACCAACGATGGTTCGGTGCTCGGTGCTTTTCGAGCTCATCGTCTGGACGACCCTGACGGCGAGCACGATTGGGCCCGGCACCGTGGCGGTGTGTGCAAAGGCCGGCGCAGACGCGCAGGAGGCGCTGCTTTGGTGCGTCGTTGTGGCTGCCGTCGTCGCGTGGGTGCTGCAGGAGGCGTCGGGGCGGCTTACAAACGTGTCGAACCGCACGCTCGGGGACTGCGCCTACTTCAAGATGCCAGAGGGCTCGCGGCTTGCGTTCCTGCGCAAGGTGCTCGCGTGCTACGTGGTGTTTGGCGGCTGGGCGTACGAGGCGAACAACTTCGCCGGCACGATGGCGGCGGTGCGGCTGGTTGTGACGGACGAGGCGGCGCTGTACACCATCAACGTGCTGCTCGGCCCCCTGTGCGCTGGAATGGTCGTCGCCGGCTCAACGCAGCGCCTGTCGCTCCTCTTCTCGGCGGTGGTTGCAGCGATGATAGTCTGCTTCGCCGCCGTGATTGGTGGGAGTGGCGTGCCCAACTCGCTCGTCGGCGGCCTCGTGCCGACCATCCCGGCCGGATCGTACGAGGTCGCCCTCGGCCTGGTTGGCACCACGACCGTGCCGCACAACCTGCTCCTCTCGTCGGCCCTCGCGCGCGGCGCGTCGGCGCGCTCGGTGCAGCGGGGCGTGCTGCTCTCGGCGAGCCTGTCGGGCCTGATCTCGCTGCTAATCCTCATCGTCGGGATGCACGTGCACAAGGACGCGGCCGAGTTCGAGCTCCGCGACGTCGCGGACGTCCTCCGGTCTGCGATGGGGCGGGGCGGCGTCTGGGGCTTCGCGCTCGGCTTGTTTGGCGCTGGCGTCTCGTCGGCGATGACGGTGCCGCTGGCGTGCGCGATGGCGGTGGAGGACATGTTTGGGCTGCGTGCCCTGAGCGCCCTCGCCACTCAGGAGGGGACGGAGGCGGGCCGAGGCCCGTCAATCGGGAGCAGCCTGGCGGCTCCAGCCGCCACGGCGAGCCCCGACGCCGCGGCAGGCTTTGGCTCGCCGCCGCAGCCGAGGAGCGCGCGCAAGTGGGTGGGCGCGACGGCGTCGGACCGCTGGCAGCACGGCGGCCGCGGCGCCATGATGAGCGCAGTGGTCCTGCTGGCGCTGATCCCCACCCTCGCCCGGCTGCCCACAATCGGCATCATCATGTTTGCGCAAGTCGTCAACGGGCTCTTGCTGCCGTGCGTCGCCGCGCTGCTCTTCGCGTGCGTCAACGACGCGCGGCTGATGAGCGCCGCGCCGCAGTCCACGTGGGGCAACGCGCGCGCCCTCCCATGCGTGGGGATCTGCTGCTTTCTGGCCTTTACCGTCCTGTCCAAGCAGACGGTCTGCCGTCTCGTGCCCGGCTGGGGAGGGAGGCAGGCGATGGCCATCGCGCTCCCGTGCACGCTGGGCGTCGTGACTGGCCTCTGCTTACTCGTCCGATCCAGCCGTAAAATGACGGCCAGCGCGAGGGTCGCGGCGGACGCGGCGGCCAGACGCGGCGCAGAGCCGTCGGCAGAGCTCACGATTGCGCGTCCTCGGGCCGCAAACGCCGACCTGAGCGTGTGATGCCCCTCGCGGCACTCGGAGGGCTACCCATCTCTACTCTACGGCCATGGAGGTCTTGCGGCGCTATTCCGGTTGTGAATGTGTGTGACTCTGTTTGTGTGTGTGTGTGTGTGTGTGTGTGTGTGTGTGTGTGTGTGTGTGCTACTCTCGAAGCCGCGCGCATGGTACTGTTAGCGCTCAAGTCGTAGGTTAGGTGCGGGGGCGTGTTTATTATCGAAATTAGTTAAGGCGTAAATTATCGCTATGTGGCTGTGGTCTCCCGGGGCGCCGTGGTCGGCGTGCGCGTGGACGGCGCCGGAAAGAGCTCTCGAAAACAGGTGGCTAGGTTAGGTTAGGTACGAAGGTGAAGAATAGCCAGGCTCGGACTGGACACCAGCGCGGTATGGGTGGACGCGGGACGAAAATGGCTCTCCCTTAGAAAAAGCTTTTGGTTCTCTGTGTGTTTTTGGCGCACGCCGCGCAGCGGGCAGCCGCCCGCCGCGTGACACGATTTTTCGCTCTGTGTCGCACATTGTCCTATTCAACGCCGTGAGGCTGCAACATCTGCCGGATGAGCGACACAGACTTGCTGCCAGATGGAGCCGCACGATCGACTTCACAACCCCCCGCTGAATCCGACTCCTCGCCTTCCCTTCCCATGATTGTTGCCGTCCCGCTGGGATGTGTGGTTGCCGCCTCGGCAATATTGTTCTTTCTCTTTTGCTGGAGGAAGTTTGTGCACAGCAGGTGGCAGATCCGCCCCCGCGACGTTCGTCCGGCGGGGAGCAGAGGCAGGGGAAGGAATGTGCTTCCAGCGATGAAAGGGACCACAGAGGTGTTTCAGGCGCCTCCCAACGGAACTGCGATTCCAGAGTGCTCCGTGTGCCTTCAGCCGTACAGGGATGGCGAGCTGCTCCGCCGGCTTCCCTGCCGCCATACTTTCCACGCCTCCTGCGTTGACCGTTGGCTCCTTCGTAGCGCAGGCTCGGCCAGGTGCCCACTATGCAACTCATGCCCGTTTACACCAGCACGAGCGATGACGTCAGTCTGATGGTGGAAGAGAGCGGTGGACACCGCAGGGTGGAACGCACGCACGCGCCGGCGCGCGCACGCAGGCCGCAGCGCCGCGCAATGCCGCGCTGCTGCGCCAGGCAGTGGACGCTCTCGTGTGTTGCGCCGGCCGCCCTCTGACTCCGCCCACTCCGCGCGGCTCTCTGTGTGCTCGTTTCGGCCTGCACGCCCCCCCGCCGGAGTCTCTCGAGAGACACCGCTACGAGTTACGTGTGCCACCGCCTCTGTACGTACTTTTAGCTTAATGGGAGAACTACGCATTAAAGCAGTGTTACACATATGGACAAACTCAAAAAAGCAGATGAACGTCAACTTCTTCTTCTATGCCGGTCGCTGTCCAACCCCGCCATGCCGCTCATGAAGGAGCCCGCTGCTGAGCAAAATGGCTCGCAAGCGTCGCCATCATTCGCTGATCTGGTCGTCGCGTTGCCTGTACCGCTAGCCATGGAAACGGTGGCATCGGGGCAGCCCAGCTCGCCGTGCTCCGGAATGGCATCCAGCTCCTCCTGGCTGAGGAGTTTGGAATTTAGGCAACGGCAGTACCGCTGGGCCAGCGCTGAGCCGGCGATGGCATCGCCCACCTCGCTAAGGCACTGCTGACACCCTGCTGCAGACGGATCGTCGGCATCGACGCAATCTCGAGGAGAGCGAGCCATAAAATCAGGCGGATACGTGGCCTCCATGTAGATTTTGCGCATGTCTTCTTTGCTGAGCCGGGCGTTCTCGCCGGTGGGCGTGCCCAGCTCTTGGAACAGAAAGAGGATCGCCCCGTGCAGCTGCGAGTTGCAAAGCTCAGGCCCAGAATCGTTGACCGTGCAATTAGGAGGGCGCCGGGCCTCGTTCACATCGTTGCTGGGAATCACCGCGGGCAAGGAGTCGGCGTCTAGAGTGGCGTTCTCGTGATCCCACACGAGCGTGGCGCAGTCTCGAATGTCGATGAGGCTAAACCACCCAAGCTCCCCGTCGAACTCAGCGCACCGTTCGAACTGTTTGTACTTAAAGTTGTTGGGCTTCTCGGCGTCTCGGATACCCGTGCTGCGGAAGTGTTCAATCGGACCCGCGGGGTCGGGGACCATTGGGGGTTCCTTGATCGTGTTCATGAGGAACACGTTCAGCGACCTGCTGGGGTCCGGACCAAAGTTGACGTCGGTCGTCTGCCGTGCGGCCTTCTCCGAGATGCCAACGCGGAGAATCGCGTCGAAGGTCTCCTGCTTTGTCACCATCCCCATCGCGTCTGGCACGAGGTCTCCATTCCTCACCAGCGTGCTAATCAGCGGGCACGTGATGCGTCGCCAGTCTCTTCGAGGTCTGAAGGGCGCGTGCGGCGATGGTGGGGGCGCTGGCGGGGCTGGCGAAGTTGGCGGTGAGCGGGGCGGGGCTGGCGGATGCGTCGGCGGGGCTGGCAAAGTCGGTGGTAGGTGCGGTGGCGGCAGGGAAGGTGGTGGAGCGAGAGGCGGAGATGGCGGTGAGGGCGGGGGCGAGTGTGGAGCTGAGGGCGGCGGCGGCGAGGGCGGTGGTGGTGAAGGCGGTGGTACTGGCGCTGGGGGTGGAGGCAAGGGCGGCGGCGACGGCGGCGGCGGTGATGGAGGTGGAGGCGATGGTGGTGGGGGCGACGGCGGCGGCGGCACGGTGGTGGGCA